TCAGCATGACATTCCTTCGACCCTTGCCGGCGGGCCTGCAAAAGATTGCCATCGAGGAGCTCAATGAGGTCCCCGATCGCGTGGAGTCGGACATATCCTCATTGAGGATCTGGTTGCAGAAGCAGCCGCATCTCTCTGCCTGCATGGAGGATCAGTTCCTGCTGAGTTTTCTGCGAGGATCAAAGTTCAGTTTGGAGAAGGCCAAGCAGAAAATCGATCGGTTCTACACTTTGCAGGCGGTGATACCGGAGGTCTTCAATGAACATCGACTGGTGGATGATCCTCAGGTGCTGGAGATCATTCGAATGGGGTAAACCGCTCTAAAGAAACCTCTTCAAGACAAGGTTCTCCTACAGATCTCCTTCTCCTTGCAGTGTGATCTTGCGCATTCCCCTGGACAAAGGGGACACTGGTCCTGCCGTCACAATCATTCGGGTGGGTTCCTACGACACCCAGAAATTCAAGTTCCAGGACATCATTCGCGTGGGCTCCATGTTCGGGGAGATCATGATGTTCGAGGACGATAATGCCACTGTCAGTGGCTATATGGAGATCATGGACATGACGGGAGTCACGGCTGCAAATCTGTTTGCCCTCCAGCCGCAGCTCCTGAGCAAATTCTCAGCCTACGCCGACGAGGCGATGCCCACGCGACAGAAGGGCATTCACTTCATCAATGTCCCGAGGGCCTTCGAAACGGGCTTCAAATCGCTGCTCTCCTGGTTTCCCGGAAAGATCAGAGAGAGGGTGAGTCCCAGACTTTAATTGCGGATTCGTTTTCCTCTTATTTGTTGTATTTTCAAGGTATCTGTTAGCGCTGATCCAGAGGCGATCTTTGAGCGAGTCTCTCGGGAGTATTTACCAGTCGAATATGGCGGAACCAAGGGCTCTATTCAGGACTTGACAGAGGAAATGGAATCCAAGCTGGGAAGCTATCGTAGCTACTTCGAGGGCACGCAGATCTTTGGTATCAACGAGCAGCTGAGGGAGGAGCAACGGCTACCCGGCAACAGCCACGAGAGTCACTTCGGTGTGGATGGCTCCTTCCGCCTGCTGGCCATCGACTGAGGCCAACCCCTCGCCGTAGGAGTAGTACTATCTGCACCATAAACCAATAATAAATGCTTTCTGATAAGCGCTGCTACACTCTTTCTTAGCGACTCGACTCGAATCGACTCTTTCAATCCATCCACGATAGCTTATCGATTACCATTTTGAGGCACACAAAGGCCGGGGTCGCCACTCGACGTTCGTTCGCCGATCAATCGAACCGTGCGCTCCCCAAGATGCCGCCTGCCATCCGTCCGCTGAGCCCCGAGCTGCAGAAGAATGCCGTGGAGAAGCTGAACGAGATTCCCGAGAAGATTGAGGATGACATTGCCGCCCTGAGGGAGTGGATCCGCCAGCAGCCCCACCTTAAGGCCCGCACGGACGATCAGACGCTGGTGAACTTCCTCCGCGGCTGCAAGTACAGCCTGGAGCGAACCAAGTCCAAGATCGATCGGTTCTATACACTGCGCACCAAATACCCGGATTTCTATGCGGCCCACAATGTGGATGTGGACAAGATGTTGGAGATCTTTCGATTGGGGTGAGTTCCGGGAGGGAGGCCGAAGCCCCTGCCAGTCCCAAAGTACTCATCGATCTCGGATCTCCCTCTAAAGAGCCATTATTCTGTTGCCGCGTCCCCTGAACGACAATGGTCCGCGCATAGCACTCCTGCGACAGGCCGTGTACGATCCGAGCAAGTACACTTTTCAGGAGGTGAATCACGCGGCGGGACTCATGCAACAGATCATGCTGAACGAGGACGATGTGGCCATTGTCAACGGCATGGTCTCCATACTGGATCTGGCCAATGTCACCACGGCACACTTCCTGCACATGACACCGGCATTTGCCAAGAAGATGACCGTCTTCCAGGAGGAGGCACTGCCCCTGCGACCCCAAGGCGTGCACTTCATCAACACTCCCGGGGGCTTTGAGACCATCTTCAATATGGTCAAGCCCATGCTGTCCAAGAAGCAGCAGGGACGCGTAAGTCTCTGATCTACAATCGAAGCCCAATCGATATTTAATCGATACCAACCTCTTTCTTTAGCTCTATGTCCACGGAAGCAAGTGGGAGGCCCTCTACGAGCAAGTGCCCAAGAAGTATCTACCCGTCGAGTACGGAGGGGAGAATGGTTCCATTCCGGAGATCATCGCCGAGTGGGAGCAGCGCATTCTCGCGTACAGAGGCTTCTGGGAGGAGGAGAACAACTACGGCACCGACGAGAGCCTGCGGCTGGGCAAAGCCGTCGATTTCGAGAGCCTCTTCGGGCTGCAGGGCTCGTTCAGGCAACTGAATGTTGACTGAGGCCCATACACCCCCTCCGACTGGGCGCCTAAATATAGCCACACAAACTGCAGTCCACTCTTATCATAAGTAACGATGATGTAGCACGAACTGAAGCAGTCGATTGGCCATAAACGGTTTTAGTAGATAAGCAATATACGATATGAAACAAAGTACTCACCAAAGTTCAACAAAGCACAAAGCCCAGGAACAGGTGTGGCAATCTGCAAGGAAGAAGATGGGTAATTCCCTGATTTAAATGCAGAAATTATAATGATTAAATTAAAGTATATTTTACTTTATTCGTGTGAGAATTTATTTACGAAAAAGTTTTAAAATTAAGTACAGAATATGCGCTTATAGAGTTTCACGATTCAGGATTTTATTATTATTTCTCTGGTGGGGAATCAACGACCAGTTATCACACAGACCCGCGTAGTTCGCATTGCAGATATTTTTGGGCATTAATGGGCATTAACCGACACATCAGTGCCTTTTCCTTGAAGCCCAAAGTCAAGGAAGGCCACCAGAGAGGAGTTTCCTTGTAGGTGGATGTTGCAATATGTCTCATACTTTTCCATCAGAGATACTCGAGGAGTATTTGAGGCGGCTGTGGATTCTATCAGACTGGAAACTGGATATAGAACGGATCATTATTATAGCCAGAATGAAGAAAATCCATTTAGAGTGGCTAGACTAGGCAGTCTCGTTCTCTCTCTCTCTTTCTTTCTCTCCCTCTCTCCCACTCTTAATCGTGAAGTGTGCCCGCTCTAAAGGCGGGGTTCACGATAGATTGTCTGGTGTTGGTGTGAAGAGTGAAAGAGCGAGAGCGAGACAGATGGGGACATGTAAAATATTCTAAAATTCGAATAAAATAGAGCACCCAATGCTCTAGTCAGTCTAGACAGTCGATAAACGGAGTGTAGAAATTAACATTAGAAAATATCTCTAGGATTAACCATCTTTCATGACAAGTGCTGGAAAAATTGACAGAAATCGCGGAAAGATATCCCTTAGTCACTTTTCCGTATTCTGACTGAGTACCAGGTACTCCCGCGAAATTCAGCGAAATTGAACACGCCCGATCGTCTGCCCTTTGAAAAGTGATTTCGGAAGACCCCGCCAAAAAAAGCCCGCCCGAATTCCACCTGATCCAACGGTCCACCTGATGCGCCGATCCACCCATCAGTCGGTGGATCCACATGAGTAAACCAAACAAAACAGAACAAGATTTTCCAAAAAAAGAAAAACAAAACAAAAGAGAGCTTCGAGTAAGACCAAAAATAAAACCGTATATCGAGAGATCAAGATCTGAGATCCATCCGCCAGCCAGTGGGCTCCTCAGTAAACGTTGGAGAGTCGTACGGATCGGTTCACGGATCACCGGGTCGGTTCTTTGCGCGCAGATTCGTCGTCGGGCAGTGTTTTGTTTTTGTTTTTTTTGGTTTTGATTTTGATTTTCTGTTGCTGTTGGAAGGAGAGGGTGGTGGAAACACAGCATGGAAAGGAAAATTGAAAAACTAAACAGATTTTCCCATTGCGATTGAGATTGCACATACTCATACTCGGGTTACCCCGTGCGTACGTGTACGTGTTTTGGTAATCATCATTAGGGCAGCACTTATATCCATATCCACACCCATTCTCCATTCAATCGAACTTCATAATTGCACGGAAATGTTATGTAGTCTCCCCGTCGTACGAGTGTAGGCAGCGAGAAAGAACCACTCGAAAGAGTAGCTCTCTTGAGGCGTGTGTCCGCGTTATTTGGATGCCCCCTCCCGGCGTACGAAAATAGTTTTCCATGGAGTCGCCTCTCCGCTCCACGCCTCTGCCTCTGCCTCAGCCTCAGCCTCAGCCTCTCTCGCTATATCTCTCTCTGTCTCTCTCTTTCCGCTCATCTTCGGCCTTGCCCCCCAACAGAGCCAACAGACCCAACAACCCACATAAATAAATATTTATTTAGACAAATAATCGAGCGTCTCCGTCTCCGTCTACGTCTGCTTCTGCGGTTTCTTGTCCTTAATTTGGTTTTCTTTCTCGATTTCGTTTTCGTTTCTTTTCCACGCATAATTTATGATCAGCCAAGCGATAAATTAGGCCAAGAGGAGGGTCCAAGCGGTCCAATCGCGTAGCCATGTCGGGTAGACGGGCCCAATCTCTGCCGGCGCACATGGTGGAGCCGGCAAAACCCGAACGCGGACGCTGTGTGGCGGCCATCTGTTTCTCATGGAAGATCATCACCTGCATTGTGTCGCATGTCCTGCTCGTCCTCCTGGTGGTCTCCTACTGCGTCGGAGGCGCGTATCTCTTCCAGCACTTGGAGCGACCACATGAACTGGAGGTACAGCCATTCTATACAAAATCTTGGTTCCCCTGATATCTAATCCCTCCTTCCTTCAGGTCAAGCGCGACATTCAGAACCTTCGCTTCAATCTCACGGAGAACATTTGGCTCTTGTCGGACGATGCCCTGGTCTTGAGGGAAAGCGACTGGATGGCGAATGTGAGCAAACATCTGGCCAATTTCGAGAAGCAGATCCTCACGGCCATCAAGGCGGATGGCTGGGACGGGGACGAGGATCTGCGCAAGTCGCAATGGACCTTTGCCGGCTCCCTCTTCTACTCGATCATTGTGATCACTACGATAGGTGGGTCTCGGGCTCTTCGCTCTAATGATTTATTCGATTCGATTCGTTTCTAGGTCTAGGAACTATAACTAAGCAAAAAAAATAGTAGGGACAGTGGGGTTCTATTTACAACTGACGGGCGGGGTGGGAGTACGTCTAAGGGATCTCCTGATCCTGGATCGTGGGTCCTGGATCCTAGATCTTCTTGCTTAGCTTATCGTTCACGTTCCTGGGCGCCGCATCCACACTCTTGGCGCTCTTGCCTTCGGCCACCACCGGTGGGGACGACTTTTCATCAAAGCCAAAGTTTCCGCCTCCATAGGGACCTCCTCCTGCCCCTCCGATGCCCAGCTGTCCGAGACCCAGTCCTCCGGCCAGACCATAGCCCTCTGTGTACTGCGGTCCGCCGCCGCCAAACTGATTCGAGGGATACTGCTGTCCCCCGTTGCCAGGGAACTGACCTGAAAACTGATTGCCGTTGAAATCTCCTCCTGGGTAGGATCCCCCGAAGGGATATTGTCCGCCCGAGCCAGGGAATTGGCTAGCGCCAGGGAACTGCTGTGCAACGCCAGAGAACTGTCCGCCGCTTGGGAATTGCTGTCCCACGCCAGAGAACTGCCCGACGCCCAGGCCGTTGCTGGGGTAGCCGCCAAAGGCTCCTCCTAGACTGCCACCTGGATAGCCCGCTCCAGAAGCTCCTGGATAGCCCTGGAGTCCTGCACCTGATGCTCCGCCATAGATTCCGCCCGGATACCCTCCAATGCCGTTCTGGGCTCCGTTGAATCCCCCATAGCCCGGCTGGTAGGGAGACGGATACAAGGGCTGCCGTCCAATGATTCCAGTGGGTCCTCCCGGTCCAACAAGAACTCCCGGACTGCCGCCATATCCTCCAGAGAGTCCCGATCCGCCAAATTGGCCCGCATTCGGCTGTCCCCCGTACGGATTGTACTGCCGCGTGCCCACATTGGGAGTAGTGGTGTCCTGGGATGCCCGGTTGGGATCCACCGCATCCGCATAGTCCTCGATCTCATCGTTCTCGGGCTCTCCAGGCAACGGTCTGCGCGTGGTGGGCTCTCGTCTCAGCTTGTTGTCGTACGAATTCCTTATGGCGGCGCTTCTACTCCTGCCGATGTCGCCTCCTCCGTCGCGAAAGGATCGCTGCTGTCGGTTGTAGGAGCGCCACACCCACTGGTCCCGGTCTCCATCGGACAGCGATGAGGATTTTCCGGCCACAGATCCCACCAGCAGCACCAGGCCCAGAGCCAAAACTAAGCAATCACTTCGCATGGTTTTCGATTTGTTCTCTCTATTGTTTTTTCTGAACCGTATTTTGCGTCTTGTTCGCCACGAGATGCCCCAACAGAATGATTCGGTTATGCCACCGACGCATGCTACTTATATAACAAACAGCCAGAGAACGAGCCACAACACCAGCACAACCAGCGGTGATGGAAACATGGAACGATGGCTCGCCCGATGGTGACGACGCACAAAAACCCAGTCAACCGGCGAGGGCACCGCCATCCGACAGGCAGCAGGTGGGTACGAAGCCAATGAATCAACGCAAACATTGGAGCAGCAGCAGACACAGACGTTCGTCGTGCCAGACACTGCCGCCGCACAGATCTTTTTGGTATCGTCTCGTATTTGTATCGCTTCGTATCGTTATGGTATGGTATGGTATGGTATGGATCGTTGATTCACCTGAAGCGAAACCGCAAAGAAGCGTGGCACGATCGACGGCCTGGCCGGAGGAACGCCCAGGAACTGCTGCAATCGGACAACCGATTATGTCCATTCATTGATCACGTTGAAATCACATCAATCGCAACCGAACGATCGTCAATCATTTGGCAATTGCTCACATTAATTGATGTCACGGCATCAATTGGCTTTTCATCCAAAAAACAAAGTTTTCCTGGAAACCACAATGACTCGGCATGCTCCCAAAAGAGCCTCCCAAGGCTCCTCTCCTCTCATTATAGTGGAGCAGAGCAGAGCAGGGCAACCCCCGCCCCCTGCTGCCTTGATCACAGATAGCAGAGATGGCACCCCCGCTAGTCCCATGATCACAAAAGTCATAGGTCAAAAAATCATCTCTGACTGTGTAGCCGCCACAGTTTGTTGCACACGTGAATGACCTCTAAAAACGGGGTTCCATTCCCCATTCCATTGGGGCAGGTGCACAGGGCGCAGGGTGGAGTGTGGAGCGTGTCAAATGAAATCAAAAGTGGAATTACGACTGTAGTCAAAACAACGGCAAGGTCAAACGCGACTGACCGACCAAACGACCGATCGTGATGAGAGTTTACACTGGCGAAAAAAACCTCTTTCTATAGAAGCTCTCTAGAAGATATAGTGGTACCATCGGACAAGGGTTCTGCAAGAATGGTAGGAGATCTGGAAATTATGAATTGAGCTTAAGCTTTTAGCTGCTATAATATGATATATGATAAGTAAATAGAGATTAGATAGATATATAGATACGAGTAGAAAGATAGATCCTTAACAGGAAGTCTTTACAGTACAACCTTTTAAGTCTTTTTATGGGATTTGTACACAAATCATCTCTCCAGAAATAGTTTATCAATAGTTTTCCAATTACATCTATAAGATCTTAGTAGAAGAATCCTTAGTTATACAAGATAATATTAAAAAAAGAAAGAAAGTTTAGTTGGAGTATCTTTTATTTACAAACTTAAAAGCTGCTGCACGCATATTTTTCTTCGAGTGTAGCTCGTTGTTTAGAATTTAATGATGGGAATTTTTGGGTTTTATTTGCTTTTTATATGGTTTTTTTGTATTTGTGCTTTTTGCACAATTTCCCGATATGGATTTATGCTCTTTCGGCTTTCTGGCCAGATTTAAACTCTAGGGTTTACTGACCCACACGCCCATTCCCATTCCCATTCCCATTCCTATTAAGCATACCAGATAGTCGCAGTGGTAGTCGTAGCCGTAGAATTCTATAGAGATAATCGCATTTCCGTAAATGCCAAAAGCGGCGGCAGACTTGAAATGCCATTTGCGGTAATGGTGTTGGTGGTTTTTTGGGGAGCGACAAGTACACCCTGAGATTAGACCCGAGAGACCTCATTAGCATTTCAAGAACTTTTGGTGTTCGAAAGAGTTGAAGGTAAGACACGGGCAAGACGCACAAACAAAAGACACTCCCCGTTCGGAATCGGTTTCCATGTTTAAGTACGAGTATCTTCTAATACATGCTTTTTACTGTACTCTTTTTTCACAGGCTATGGCCACATATCACCGCGCACCGACTGGGGCAAGGTGACAACGATTTTCTATGCCATCGTCGGCATCCCGCTGATGCTCATCTGCCTGTCCAACATTGGAGATGTGATGGCCACGTCATTCCGGTGAGCCTCTGCGCGCTGACATCTCCACAGTTGCGTGACTCCGCCGCTAATGACTCCACTCCACACCACTTCTCTCTTTCATAGTTTTCTCTACTGGCGCATCTGCTGCTATGTGTGCACGCGGACGGCCAAGCGGCCGAGGAATGCCCGCTCCAGGCAGCGGTCGGTGAGGGGACAGCGGTATGCCCGCTCCCAGCCGCCACCCTCGTTCCGGCGATCCATGAAGATGACACAGCGATCGGGCAATGACTCCGGGTTCGGTCCCTCCATGGGGCATGCCCATTCCGATCCGGAACTGCGCACCATGGGGCGGGGCGTCGGCGGTGGCTACGATGATAGGGAGTTTGGCCACCGCAGCAGTGGAGGACGCAATCGCCGCCAGCAGCAGATTGCGGCACAGCCTCGCCAGCAGCGGCACAACATCTACGGGGATGAGTACGAGATGCAGACGCAGACTCTGAATCGCGGCAATCGCTACAGCAGCCGCCAGAGGCAGAGAGATCGCATGCGGGATCGGCATACGGTGGAGCGGGAGCGCTATCGGCACGATTTTGATGCGGGATCCATGGAGGATTTCAGTGACCTACAGCCGCCGGCAAAGAGGGCCGCCAGTGTCCGTTCTGTCCGCTCGCCCCAGCATCAGGAGTCCAAGGCCTCGCGGGAGCTGCACCGCCTGCATTCTGCCCCAGGACGCGGGGCCCGAGCCAAGTCCGTGGACCCGCGGCACGTCTCCTCGCAGCACTACGAAGATGTGGACGAGGATGTGGTGCGCAAGACTCCGATTATACCCAACCGATACGCCCTGGATGACTTCGGAGGAGGATCTGGCCACCAGCGGACCACCAGGAATGCAGCGCCACGGAGTCAATCAATGCCCCGATCCGCACACCAGCGACAACGACAGAGGGATCGCGAGAGGGAGCGTTCTCCGCAGCCTCCTCGGAACGCAGGTCGTCGCGCTGGCAGCCTGGGACGTCAATCCACACGCTATGGCAACCACTTGGAGCTCCCCGACTACGATGCTCCGCCACAGGGGTCCTCAAGGGATCATCGCAGGGACCGACGAGGACGCTCTCCGCGCAGCTACGAGGATTATGTGGAGGAGAGCTTCGATGAGGTGTCCCTGTGCGACGGCGGCCACTACGAGGACTATCCCCCCGTCCATAGCAAGTCCAGGAGTCGCGAGCCGCGACGGAATCATCGTCGGAGAGAGCGGGCCGAGCGTCTGCCTCCCTCGCCACGTATCATGTCGCCCATGGGTTTCCCTGTGCAGCGGCAGATCCGACGTCGCCCCAGCTACGAATACGACGAGGACGACTCCATGTATGGGGAGGACTATGGGGACTATGGCGATCTCCTGCCCAAGGACCGTCCTGTGCCCATCTGGCTGTGCGTCTTCCTGGTCGTCAGCTACATCCTGGGAGGCGCCGCCCTGTTTGCCTACTGGGAGAACTGGTCCTTTCTGGACTCGGCCTACTTCTGCTTCATCACGCTGACGACAATCGGTAGGATATTCCAGAGGTACTTTCAGAGATCTTTTGTGCTGATTCTGTTCATGTTTCTCTCTAGGATTTGGCGACTTTGTGCCTGCCAAGGGCGTCAAGGATGAGTCGGAGCAGTCCATTGCCTATTGCTCGTTGTATCTGCTCTTTGGCATTGCTCTCCTGGCCATGAGCTTCAATTTGGTCCAGGAGGAGTTCATAGCGAATGTTAAGGAGGTGGCACGTCGTCTGGGGATCCTCAAAGATGACGATGAGGACGACCGCGATGAGGAGTAGGGGGGTTTACTCTTAAAACTATAGTATTGAACACTAGAGAGCTGCATGCAAACGAAGGCGTTTCATTCGAAACATCTACTATGGATTCATGCAGGTCTCTTAACTTAAACACCTTTCATAGGATTTTGTACACTCTTCATAGGATATACCTCTTGCATCTTCGATTAGAGCTTAAATTATAAAGTAAATGAAGTTTCCTTAAGATTACAGTTTACACTGAACGGAAAAGTCAACTCAAAGGGAACCCTAAAGATCGTCAACAAGTAGATTCTCTTAGTTTACATAAGTTTTCACACGAATATTCAGATTAAAGTGCGTCCCCGAACGGGTTTCCCCGATTATACACATCACTACGCTTAAACTGTCCGGCCAAACCCTTCTTTCTTGAAACTCGCATTGAAGTCTCAAGAAATTAACTCAAAGTTGAACTCTCAAGGTCGCAGTCAAGACGTTTCCTTAAATATACACAACTTATTAAGCGAATATTCGAGTTTAAAGTGGTCTGCCCAAGGTCCAAGGCAAGGGGGTTTGCTTAGCATTAAGTTTATTTAATTATTAAATTGTGCAGCATACAGAAGAAGAAAAAAAACAAAAGAATCTCCAGGGAATTGCCGGGGAATGAAAGGTGAGTGGAGTACTGGGGCAAGTAGCAGATGTAGATATAGATAGAGATATATGTGTGCCATCGATCCCCCGATCGATTCAGGACACGTTCTCTTTGTTGTGCTGAAAAAAGTGAGAGTATTCGGATTATTTATGTTTATTCAATCATTAGCAATGACTGCTTACTCTCTTAAAGGCTGGAGATCCACGCGGCGATGATTTTCTGGGAGTCAGGGAGCGGGACAGTGAGCCAGACACTGGCGGCTTCAAAGCATTCGAGTTCATGCTGCGTGTGGTACCGCAGCCGCGTTTCATGTTGATGCCAGTCACAGTGCCCTCGATGGGAGTTGAATTCATGAGGGTCTCCGTTTCGGAGAGCTCCTGAACGGAGTGCAGAGAGTCCTCCTGCTCACCCTCGCTGCACTAAAAGGATACAAGATTAAGGAAACTAGCTTAGACGAGGGGTTTCATTAGCTTTCTACCTCATCTATGGTGGCTGTGGTATCCAAATCCGACCAATCGTGCTCTTGACGGTAACGCCTCACAATGTCCTGATGGGGGGACGTGGCCACCAGCGAACGTGGATAC